TGTAATTCTGCATTACGTTGAGAGAAATCCAGGAACTCTATTCCCTCTTCCCCCTTGTCTTAGCAGCTGCAGTGTGAAATTTGCCGGAACTCAGAGAAAGTAGGATCATGGAAATGTAAGGGCCCTGGAGGATTGCAGCGGAGTTTGTCGACTGTTTAGAGCACCGGTGTGGCACTGAGTGACGCCACGCTGGCCCAGGGAAGGGAATTTAGTCAGACTCCCGGAGCAAGACTCCTGGGCTTTGGCCTCTGGAGTCTCGTTTATCAGGAAGGAAAAGGGCATTAATGGAAGGGGGGGGCATTATGACTGGATCATCTCAGCAGCAACCTAACTTAGCCCTTCTATTGGTCCATAATGTGCAATGCTGGTCTGAGGATAAGGTGGGTAAATTTGGCAGCAAATTTGGCATGCAACTTTAGGGCTAGTAAATGGGGAAGGGAAGCTTTATTTTGTCTGCCCCTTAATCTCCAGCCAGTTATAGCCTCCAGTTGCCCCAAAGTGCATGTGTGTGTGTGGGGTGTGTGTGTCTGTCTCTGAGCTGGTGCCTGTGCACAAGTTTCATGCAGATTTCCATCTCAGATGGGACCATCCTGCAGGAGCTGCTCCAGGAGACCTGCCAGGCCTGAGCATGAGTGTGTCACCAACACTGGCATTAGTGTTCCCTCTAAGCTGAGTTAGTGTGAGCTAGCTCACAATTTTTTAGCCTTCGGCTCACACATCTTTGTCTTAGCTCAGGAAGGATGGCTCCAGAGCAAACTAATTTATGCAGCAGCCAAATCACTCGCTCACAACTTTAATGCCAGTAGCTCACAAAGTAGAATTTTTGCTCACACGACTCCACAGCTTACGGGGAACATTGACTGGCATCCCTGCAACTGTTCTCCCCTCTGGAAGAGCAGCAGGGGACACCACCCAGCTGCAGCAAGGGGTGGCTCAGTGAACCGAGGAGATGTCAGTTATGCACCAGGTTTCACTGCTGGTGCTGGGCAACAGCCATTCATCTGAAATGGTTGTGCAATAGCCGTTGGGCTTGTTGCATTGCCCCCTGTGGAGAGAGGATTGCCTGTGCAAGAAACTTGGCACATGTTATTTCCTACTTTATTCCTTTACCACACCTAATCCCTATTCTGCCTTTCATAAGAACATAAGAGACGCCAATGTTGGATCAGGCCAAAGGCCCATCCAGTCCAACACTCTGTGTCACACAGTGGCCAGAAATACCAGGTGCCATCAGAAGGTCCACCAGTGGGGCCAGGACATTAGAAGCCCTCCCACTGTTGACCTCCCCCAAGCACCAAGATGACAGAGCATCACTTGCCCCAGAGCCCCTATCTGTCACGGCAGGACCAGGGGGCGTGACACAAGCAAGCAAAAGTCCAGGAACAGTCCGAGGTCAAGCCGGGCAAATCAGGTAGCAAGGTTCAAGCAGGTTTAAATCACAGTCCAGAAGCAGGGTCAGACATACCAAAGTTTCAAGTCCATAAATCACAACAATACCAGAGGAGTCAGAGATGAACGCAGGGTCAACAAAGCCAAAGGTCAAAAGCCGAGGATCAAGCCGAGAAGAATTCCATAAGGTCTGGAGCAGAGATGCAAGGATTCAGGTCCTGAACAAACGACGTTGCCAGCACAAATGACTGCTGGCAACAGACTTGCATATATACAGTGCTAGCTAATCAACTCATTAGCTAGCCAGGAGTGAGGACAGGATCCTGTCAGTAATCAGGGCTAAGAGATCTTCTGGCACGCATGCGTGCATTCTGCCTTCGCTCTCTCAGCTGTTGTCTTCTTACATTCCTGAGCCTGGTTACAGGTGGAGGCGAGTCTGATGATGAATTACTGGGCTGCAGCAGAGACTGATCCCTTGCAGGTGTTCCCTGGGAGGCTCTATCCTCCTCACCACTTAGATAGCTTTCAGCTACAGGATCCAGTCTTTGCCTTTCTGCTGCAGTACTGTCCTCAGGAGCCTGTTCAGGGTCCTCAGGAGCCTGTTCAGGGGCATCAGCAAAGGCAGGCATGACATCAGCAGGGGCAGGCATGACACTATCTATACCTTGTGGCTAATCCTTCCATCACCTTAATTCTGTGCTCAGAATAAAAATGACAGAAACATAAGCATTGATAAAGATCTCAAGTTGCCAACTGTTGCCTCATGGCAAAGCTCACCTTAGCTGTAGGCACAGCTGTCTGTAAGCTGCAATTGCACCCAGGGGCAAGAAAAGAAAAAGGGAAAAATCGACTAAATTCAGCATCCCAAGGATTATGTCTTTTTTTCACCAAAAAAAAAGAAAAAAAAGAAAGAAAAACAAAAAGGTCAGGACATAAATGTTGAATTCTTAACACCTCTATGAATTATATACTTTTATTTCCCAGCTTGGAATCAATGGGGCTTAGATGTGCTTAATTCTGGTGGACTCATGCACCAAGTATAAATCCATTAAAGTATGCAGGTTGGGTGCATCAGTCCAGACTGCCTCATTGGCTACTGTAGTGGTTCTTAAACTTTAATCTACCAATGCCCCCAAGTATGCAGTATTACCAGTGAATGGCCCTCTCTCCCTCCCTCCCTCCGCCATCTTTTTCAAAACCTGACCCACAGGTAACAGGCAGTTAAAAAGAAAATCAAGCAAGAAACACAGAGCCATACAACTTTCCCTCAAATAGTACCTTTCTTTATGTGTGGTTGAAAGAGAAATATACAGATCTCAGGCATGTATTCAATTATGCCCTTGTGCCTAATGGTCATCAGCTAATTTCTTGATGTTTAGTTCAATTCTTGTTTACTGTTTGAAAGACTGTGGGAGAGATCTGGGATTTTATGCTCAGGGCAGGATGGGCCATATAAAACAATTCTCTTTCACTTAGCCATTGCAAGTGAAGCAAAGAGACTACCAAAATCCCATTTGGCTAGACCCCCTCAAGTTCTGAATGCTCCCAAGACCTGTATCTTACCCCCCTCAGGTGCCATATGATCACCATCAAGAATAACTTGGCTACCAACAGGTGCTCCTGAGCGTGGACTCTAATCTGGGAGAACCGGGTTTGATTCCCCACTCCTCCACTTGCACCTGGCTGGATGACCTTGGTTCTGATAAAAGCTGTTCTTGAAAAAGAGCAGTTTCTGTCAGAGCTCTCTCAGCCCCACCTACCTCACAGGGTGTCTGTTGTGGGGAGGGGAAGGGAAAGGAGTTTGTAAGCCGCTCTGAGACACCATTCGGTAGTGAAGGGCAGGGTATAAATCCAATCCTTCTTCTGAGTCCTGGAAAAAAATTGTTGAACAGCTCAAGGGCTGAGAACCATTAAGAGCAGCAAAATGGGAAAGAGGACCATATCTGGGTCCATCTCTGTCAGATTCTAGCTATTTCTGTTTCCAGCACCACTATAAATGGGAAGAGCTGGCATCCAACTCAGAGCCCTCTAACACAGAGATGTAGCTGTGCTCCCCAGGCTGAAATATTTTAATTGATATTTTATACATACCGTTAATTGATATATATATATATATAATATATATATATATATATATATATACACACACACAGATATTTTATGCATCTCTTAACACTTCATTTTTCATGTTCTCCTCTTTCTAAGAATCAAAATAAACATTGAAAGCATATAAGTACACTCAGGCTGAAATATTTGTCCTCCCCTGGGCTAAGAGCTCTGGTGAACCATGCTGCTTCCCAGCAGAATGATGCATTTTTCAACTACTTTGTCTAATTATGCAAAAACAACAGAAATGATGCAAGGAGTGAATGAGTGAGTGAGAGGTATAAATTAAATTAATAAAATAATAAAATAAAATAATATATTTTGATGCTGACCCAGCCCAGGGAACTGAGGGAAAAGACACAATCACCTTCTTATATTCAACTTCTGAAATGGCACACAAGACACTTTTAAAAGTTCAAAATAAACAAAATGTTTCACCAAACTTAGGAGAGAAAAGGGTCAGGTGGAATCAGGGGTAGGATGTTATGAGGTGAACCAATAATAAAACTGAGGTAACTTTGTAATCACACTAACACCATGTAATTTGTTGCCAACATCTGTTTCTGCTATTCAAAAAGGTCTCTTAAAACTTTAAGATAGGCTTTATTTTCAGTTTCTGCTTAAACATTCAAGCATAGGTTTATGAGTTTCACAGACTCTTAAAGTCTAGAAAATAGGAACACACAACCAAGTTCCCAAAATCCTTCTATATACACAGGCCAGGGATCACTCCTCTTTTAAGAGCTATCTCACTTTTAACTTGGCAGGGATTCCTTCTCTTAACTAGAAGCAATTTTCCTTTTTGGCCTGAATGGGGGATCCTCTCACTTCTTTAGTCTCCTTCCCAGTCCACAGTCAGTGCTTAACGGTTTCTTTTTCAATTGTTGGTGCCCAACTGCAATTTCTTAACTGACTCTCTCCACAGAATTCCATTTGAACAGCCTGTCACTCAAAAGGTTCTCAGACTCTGTTAGGCATTATAACCCTTGACAGTCCATCACAACTACACTATTTGATTTGATAGTTATTACTAATATAGAGATTTTAAAAATTCAGTAAATTATATAATGCACTCATTTCCAAAGCAATGTGGTCAGGGGAACGGAACGTTCAAGATCACCAGATAGCCATCAGTCCTTGGCTTCAGCTACCACCCCAGTTCACCCATAACTATTTCCCTGCCTTCATGAAAGCTTGGAGAACCAACAAAATGACAGCCATTCACAATATTCTTATCTTCTTTCCCCAGGTACAGTTGCCGTGAGCTAGGCTGTTGGTGAGTGGATGTTATATTGGAGGAACTCACTGTGACACTAAAATGGAAAGCCACAAGCAGCTGTGGGCCGTAGAGGGAGAATTTGCTTTATAAAAGTTTTCCACATCCAGAAGAGTGACAAGGGCTTCTTGCAGACAAGCACAGATATGGAATATCTGCACTAGAGGAGTCACACATAATCCACTGCAACGCATATTCAGCCACTTATCATCTCAAGAAAACATCAGAGATGGGAAAGGCGTGCCTGCTTCTCTTGCTTCTGAAGACATGTGGAATTCACACAGAGTTGGAAACGAAGAGCCACCATAGCTGGGAGACTCAGTGGGAAGGAAACAACTCTCAGTTCCCAAGTGAAGCTTGGAAGCAATGCCTACCCCAAAGTATAATTATAGGGGTACGGAAAGGAGGCACAAGAGCCCTACTGGAGATGCTGAGTCTGCACCCTCAGGTGGCAGCTGCTGATTCAGAAATGCATTTCTTTAACTTGGACGAAAATTACAACAAGGGGTTGGGTTGGTACAGACAGCAGATGCCAATTTCACACTCAGGGCAAGTTACTGTAGAAAAGACACCAGGCTATTTCTCTTCCTTCAAGGCCCCAGAAAGGATCCACGCGATGAACAGCTCTGTGAAGCTGCTGCTTATTGTCCGGGACCCTGTAGAAAGGCTTGTGTCAGACTACACTCAGATCCTCAACAACCGCAAGGCACAGCACAAGCCCTACCAGTCTTTGGAACAGATTCTCTTGAAGAATGGCCGAGAACTCAATACCAAGTATAAAGCCATGCAGCGCAGCCTCTATGCTGTGCACCTAGCTCGATGGTTAGAATTCTTTCCCAGGACCCAGATTCATATAGTGGATGGAGGTGGTCTCATCCGGGAGCCGCTCTCAGAAATGAACCAAGTAGAGCGCTTCTTAGGACTGGAGACTTACCTAGGCCCAGACAACTTTTACTTCAACCAAACTAAGGGCTTCTACTGCCTGCAGGCCAGAGGGCATCAGCACTGTCTGGACCAATCCAAAGGACGACCTCATCCTATTATTGATGAACTACTGCTGGAACAACTCTGCACATACTTCAGTGAGCACAATGAGAACTTCTTTGCCATGGTGGGACGGACCTTCAACTGGTGCTGAGCCCAGGCTAGATGGTGACTGAGACAGGATGTAGAGTAAGGCCTCTAGGGACAGGGCTTTCTATGGTAGAGATTTGTTCCCCTTGCTTTCCAATGAACCAGAAATGGACCACTACCATGGAGAAGCAATTCAGTGGTCTGAGTCCTGAGAAAAACAGCACAACAGGAAATAGCTTATATACTAGAGACTCCCCCCCCATTTGTTCAGAGCCTTTTAATATGATAGTTAGCTCTTCTTTCCAGATATCACAGCAAGTTAGATTATGAGCCCTCTGTCCTATGTATTCAGATGCCACATTGTAGGTTATCAGAGATTCAACTCAAATCTCACTTGGGTTCTATTTCCAGCAATTGTGTGACTGATGAGCCAAAAGCAGAAGATATGATGAACACATTTGTTTACACAATAATTGTTTCCTCCTTTCTCTCATACCAAGCAACTGTAGGAACTGAATCTCAGGCATTCAGCTTTATTCACTTCATGCTCACCTCTGTTGTTCTATTTCTTTTCAACAGAGGGCAGCAGTTCCTAATGCAATAAGATTTCTACAGTACTCTGTATGATCTGGGTTGTTAAACAGTATACAAATTGTAAGGTATACCTCCTCATCTACAAATATCCTTCTTCTATTGTGAGCATATGAAACTGCTTCCTTATACAGACTGTTGGACCATCTAACTCAGTATTGTCTACACTGGCAGCAGCTTTCTAGGCAGCCTCAGGCAGAGGAAGGTCTTTCTGGACATACTATGGATTAAAACTTAGGACATTGTATACATAATGGGAACTACTGCTGAACTGCAGCCCCCTTGCCTTTTGCAGATGGGACACAGGCCTGACAAATGCGGAAAGATTCCTTGAGGCAGTCTTTTTAAGGTAGCTCAAATTCCTCATCATAATCCTCATAAAAATCTGCCATTGTGTTGCATTTGTGGCTACAGAGCCCATGCATCAGTCTGAGAAGAGGGAGGAGAAAGACTACAGGGGAGAGACTTGGTTACAGCATGTTTGCTCAAGTGTCTCATTAACCGGGGCTTATTCCCATATTAATCGTGCATGGGATCATGACCTCTTCTGGTGCCTTGTGCAGTTTCTGGGGAGGAAAGGAGAAGCTGCAGCAGTGCCCTTCCTATCATCAAACTATCTGGCTCTCAGCAGTTGTTAAATCTTTTTGCAAAAATGCCATAGCTTGTTCCAACTGCAGCTGCTCTCAAAATTGCTGCAGCTGGAGCAAAGAACAAATTGCTTTTTTGGACACAGTTGTTGCTGGAAAAAAGAATAGGGCAGGAAGGGTACAGAATCATACTCCCCTCCATTTATGTTCCAGGGGTAACAAGGCTGTAACCTGTGTACAATTACATGGGAGTAAGCCCTTTTGGATTTGACTGCATAAAGCATGCACAACTTGCAGAAGCAAGCTAAAACTAGTATTTCCTTGCACTAAATCACATAGGAACTACTGGAAGAGAATACCCTGGAACCCTTGTGGATTCAACTGCAGAATGTAGCTGCTTTTGTGGAATTCCACTGGCTTCCAGCTTGGCTCTACACCCCTGCCAAACAATACCAAGAAGGAATAGATACACCAGTGATTGCTGAAGAATTCTTATGCTTTTACACCCAGCTTTCCCCAGTGCCTTTCTTCCGGAGGTAAAGGTGTAAAGGAAGGCAGAGAAAGACTTCACACCTATTTCTGAAAAATTGACAGGCACTTATTATCACTGCTCATGACCAATCCAGCCATGCAGGAAAATAATCCATTGGTGATCTGGCAGTTCTGGAGGCCAAATGCAATAGACTGAAGTACTCTGCTCACCAGGAAGTCCTGCAACAGGCTCTTGATCTTCAACCCAGAACAGAATAAAGGACAACCCCTCACACCAATCTTCTCTTCACAAGGATGCACATCAACATGAGTTTTCCTTTCTTGTCTACTTCTTAGAGAAACAGTCCCTTATAAGCAATGAATTCACTGATTTTCAGTCTGTCAGAGAAACTGAGATGGAAAATAGCATGCTTATTACTGAAGACTGGTGACAGACAAGCAGTCTTTTCTGTCTTACAGTTGCTTAACGTTCCACAGGCGTGCCATTCTTGAAACTCAGTCAATATTACAATCTACATTCCCCTAACTGAATATGCCACTTTTCTATCCCACCATCTTGTTATACCATTGCACCTTTTAGTAAAAGAAGCTTCTGAAAACATTGGTCAAAGTGATCAATTTTGCTATCTTGTACAAACCAATACAAAAATGGGCCATAGGAAGAGTACAACTCCTTCCCAGCTTACCTGCTACCACTAACCTTTGCTTGCTGATTCTGAAATCCTCATCTGTATTCACAAGGGCTCTTTATTCCTCCTTGACCAGAACCTGGCATTAATTTTAAATTCTCATTCTGATAACAGAAGTGCTTACTTTGATGCATTGAATGATTTTAATTTGTGTACTAAGGTCTTTATAACTAGTGAGTAATTGAGAACAATAAATACTTTATAGCACAACTAAGCGTTAACTAAAGCAGAAACCAATATACTATGTTCTGGAACGTACATTTTGTTATCTGATACCCCTGTAAAAGTGCTGGATTATTAAACTGCACATTCTTCTGGGTTACATTAAATTCTGGTCACTGATTCCATATGGCTATCTCAATTACCTATGTCAAAGAACAAGGCAACCCAATCGTAAATCATAAATGTGGCCATGTTAAAGACTACAATTTGGGAAGAGGTTTATTTTTTAAAAAATGAAGCTCAACAGTATTTGAAGGCACCAGCTTTATAGCTAAGATATGAAGTCTCAACCACATTGACTTTTCACACCACCAGAATGACACACAAAACAAGTTTTGTAAAAAATGGTTTTATCAGTTCCATTTTTGTATAAAACACATGGGAGAAACCTAGCCAATCAACACACAAATTGCTGCCACATAACAAGGTACTTTTTTGTCAAACTTTGAATCTAAAGAACATACAAATGTTTTAAGTCTACAGTCAATTGTCTATGCTCTTCCATTTAACTATTTTTTTAAAAATTCCACATATCCCCATATTTCTTCTGTCCCAGGTACAGTACAATGACAGGGAGGAAGAGGGCTGTTTAAAACTCTTCTCTATGCAGTTTTCTGCTGTCCCTTCTTTCCAATCAGAGACTTGTGGATGTGAGGAATTACACCTGCAAAGAGAATAATGGATTAGAATTAGCAGTTGACTTTTGGGAGCCATTCATATTAGGTGTTACTTTCTCTTCCAGTTCCCTTCACAAGCTGAAAGCACCACATTTTGCAAACTCTGAGGTGTTCTGGTCACACCTCAACAGTGCAACTGCCTTTATCAAAACCCCATGTGAACATATAGGGAAAAGAAACAAGCAGTAGTCTTTCATTTAATATTAATTTGGGGGGCTGATCTGGCTCAGTCAAAAGAAAACATAGTGCTGAGAAAGATCAAGATGGGTAGCTGTATTTGTCTGTAGCAGCAGAAAAGAGCAAGAGTCCAGTAGCACCTTAAAGACCAACAAAATATGTGGCAGGGTATGAGCTTTCGTGAGCCACTGCTAACTTCTTTAGGTATCTGAAGAACTGAGCAGTGACTCACGAAAGCTCATCCCCTGCCACATATTTTGTTAGTCTTTAAGGTGCTACTGGACTCTTGCTCTTGTATACAGTGCTGAGATGCTACACAAGCGTTAAAAACAAAAAACTTTCTCAGGTTTCCTCATGGCATGCAGACAACTGGGCTGAGAGAGATGTATCATGAAAAGGTGTTTCAGGTTTCACTCCCTGATCTACTTTTGTAGCCCTAATTAAAAATAAGATTATTTTGTAAAAAGGCGCCCAAGGATTGATGTGCAGCACACCGGTGGTGCAAAAATCATTACCATGAGATCTGCGTTATTTTTCTGTTGAGATTAACACCATTTAGGAACAAATGGCTGCTTAACACATGAGCATATTTTGAAAAATCCACATTTAACTAGCAGCAAAGCTGCATCTGAAGCAGTGACCTGGAGTCATAATAATAAGCATGACTATTTACAACTACCTCATACAGTAAAATATAAGCAGCAGTAATTTACCACAGTTAAGCAGTTTCTCTCAGTTAAATTAACTATTGTTCTGTCAAGTGGTGAGGGGAATTTCATGCACATTCCCACATGTACAAAAATCCAGGAATTAGCTAACTTCTCACTATTTGGCAGGATGTTTCAGATCAGCATCTTACCATGTAGATACAAGTACATTGTGAAAAGCTACCACTTGATTATCTGTAATCAACAGTAACTTTTACTATAATAATTTCAGAAATTCTGTGACTACACACCTCCACCGGCAATTGTAGCTTTAATAAGGGAATCCAATTCCTCATCACCACGAATAGCAAGCTGCAAGTGACGAGGAGTGATACGTTTTACCTTGAGATCCTTGGAAGCATTACCTGCCAACTCCAAAACCTGTCAGGAGAAAGGAGACTGAAGTAGGAAGCTGTTTAAAGGGTGCAACTTCATGTTTTTAGAAAACAAAGCTTATCTTTTACTAGCTGAAACATGGACATACTTTTTTATACAGAGAGCATAAAAATAATCCTAGGCCCCTAGAACAAATACTGTCTTAAAGGTAACCAGTACAAGATGATATAATACAGCTGCTGCAAACTTCTTAACCACGCAGTGAGCTAGTTTCATAATAGAATCTGATTTAGTATTTAAAATACTAAAATAACAGAATGACACATTACAATTTGCCATGGAAGACTACAGTTACTAAGTTACTAAGTTCTGTTCCCTATTGATATGTTTACAAAGATGAGACCATGGCAGGGGGAGAGAGCAGGAGTTTAATTCTTTTGCCCAATGAAATTTTGCCAGCTGAAACCACCATCCTTTACAGGCAAAACTTCCTCTCTTCTCCTTTGGGGGCTAACAAGTGGGGGAGGATTGTGTTTTGAATGGCAAAACTCAATGGAGGAAGAATTAATCCCATCCCTCACCAGCC